GTTGGTATTAAAAGTGAAAATAAGGATAATAATGATTGTTGGTTGTTAAAGAAAAGCCTCTATGGTCTTAAACAATCAGGCTATGAATGGAACCAGTATATTGTAAAGGAACTAGACAATATAGGATTTAAAGCTGGTTTAGCCGATCCATGTTTGTTTAAGAGGGAGACAAATGGGAAAGTATCATTATTATTACTATTCACAGATGACATTGCATTGATAACTGAAACTAATGATGAAGCAAATAAAATAATAGCATCATTAGGAAAGAGAATAAAGATCAAGCAATTAGGGGAGATAAAGAAGTATCTCGGTTTGAATATAAAGAAAACACAGAAAGGTTTTAAGATATCTCAGGAAGATAAGATAAGCAAATTGCTAAAAGATTACAAGATGGAGCTTTGTAAGCCAGCTAAGACTCCAATGAGTCAGGAGTTTAGCAACACTGATGAACAAAGCCCGGAGTTTGATAAGGTAATTTATCAATCTTTAATTGGTAGTTTGAGTTATATTAGTAATTGGTCTAGACCAGATATTTCGTACTGTGTGAATCAGTTGGCTAGATTCAATTCTGCACCATGTGAAAGACACTGGATTGCAGCCAAGAGGATATTAAGATATCTTAAAAAGACAATGAATTATTCATTGTATTTAGAACCAAAGGGTGATTTAATTCTGAGTGCTTATGCAGATGCTAGCTTTGCATCAGAAAGAGACACTAGAAAGTCGACTTCAGGAACAGCCATAATGCTGGGTAAGACATTAATAGGCTGGAAGTCAATAAGACAACAGCATATAAGTTTGTCTACTATGGAGGCAGAATTCTCCTGTTTATCACTGTTATGTACAGAATTAATAATGTATAAACAAATGTTAATTGATATAGGTATAACTGTAGATTATCCTATAATTATACATGAAGATAATCAGGCAGCAATTCAAATGGCCACAAATATTGCAGTAAAAACAAGGAGCAAACATACAGATCTAAGATACCTAAACGTGAGACAATCTGTAAGAAGTAAGATGATTCAGCTAGAGTACTGTATGTCGGAGGACAATTTAGCTGATAATTTTACTAAAGCCCAAGGTGCCAGTAAGCACCAGGAGAGTTGTGAAAAATATGGGGTTAGATTGTAAAGGTATTATATATTTATTTCACCCAAAAGGGGAGTATGTTAGGTATAACATTGATACCAAATATGGTTTGGGTGAATAAATATATAAAACTTAGATATCATGGTTTAAGTGCTTATCACTTTAAGCACAATGCTGCAGGCAATTAGCCGATTAAGGGTGCGGTTAGAAGTTACAATATAAGGAAGCATTAGAAGCTGGAAATCTTACTGCGACTAACTGTGTCTTACTGTGACTAACTGTGATTACTGACTGTGAGTGCCTGTGACTGAACTGTTCTTGTTTGCTACTGTTTGCTGATTTACTGCGTAATTCTACTGTTCTACTGTTTGAACTTCTTGCTGAATAACCAGCGTTTGTTCCTCTGAAGAGAGGCACCGGAGGAGGAGAAGATATCTTTATCGGCTGATAAAGATATTGCAAGGACTCTTAACTTGGACTATACTAGTGAGTCTTACTGGATGGAAATACTGTGAATGACTTAATGGACTGAATGACAATGCTTTAAACTCTAAATGGATTAAAAACTATTTAAACTACAAACAGTGTTTGTGTTCAGTGTGTGTATACTCTGGGGCCCTTCCACTCTCGTTTTGGCTGCCTGGCTTGACTACTGCTGCAATACTCTGCTAGGGGTTAATCCCCAAACCCTAACACGATCGATCATTCTTTATTTGGGATCGCAGAATACCATCTCCAGCTCCGTTCTCCTGGGGGGTTGGGGACAGAGAGAGAGAGAGAGAGAGACTTTTGGCTTCATGCAAGGAAAGCAGCAGAAGCAACAGAGTCTTCCTTTCTCTCTCCCAAACTCTGCCAGAAATGAGTCTTTGTGAGACTTGTGACGGCGCAGCCTCTTGGAGCAGGATGCCTTTGCAGGGTCCCAAAGACTCATTTCTGGCAGAGTTTGGGGAGAGAAAGAAAGACTTTTGCTGCTTTCCTTGCATGCAACCAAAAGCAGAAGAAGAATGAAGTGGAAAGAAGGAGCCCGATGGCCAAGTGAGGCATGTGGGGCAAGTGAGGCAAGTTCCCCCCTCCACCCTTTCCTCCCTCCCCTCACTACCTCGTGTTGTTCGCAATGCAAGCGATGCAAGTCTTGCGTTCCCATGGGCCATGTGGGCGACGCAGCCTTATATTCCCGCACAGCCTGGATTAATTGCTTTGAGGGTGGTGGTGACATTTCTCTGTGGACCACCAAAATTTTCTCACAGACCACCAGTGGTCCCTGGCCTACTGATTGGCGGCCACTGCTCTGGAAGTCAGAAACAGGCCCATTCCTGGCCTTCCTGAACTTCCAGGAGGCCCGTTTTTCGCCTTCCCTGAGCCTCCGTTCCGCGCCCTGAACTTACCTGCATCCAAAATGGGTCGTGTGGGGACTCCTGGGAGGGTCAGGGCAGGGTGGGCGTGGCCAGCCAGGAGTGGGATTTGGGGGTTCTCTGAATCCACACAGAATCTTAGCTAGGGGCTCTCCCGAACCCCTAGCAGTCCACCCCTGGTCGCAGCCTCCCGAGCTCCGTTTTAGCGGGCAGGGCGCTCGGGCCTCCACAGGCACCCCTGACGACGAGTGACATCGAGTTGGCCACGCCCACCCTGGCCACGCCCACCCAGCCCCCAAGGCTGAAAACAACCCTGAGGCGTCCCTCCGTGAAATCGAGCTTGACGCTCCTGGGTTAGGGCATTAAAGGGCTATTCACCAGATCACCCTCATCCCTAGAATGCCCTGGTTTTTCACTGCTGTACTGTTTTTTTAAAACTCTTGTTACAGGTAGTCCTTGACTTACAACCATTCGTTTAGTGACCACTCGAAGTGACAATGTCCCTGGGGAAAAAAAAAGTGACTGAAACACTTTTCTCATAGTTAGGACCGTAGCAGCGTCCCCCAAGAGCAAAAATTGGACACTTGGCAATTGACTCATATTTATGACGGTTGCTGTGTCCTAAAGTCAGGTGATCCCCTTTTGCAACCTTTCCAACAAGCAACGTCAATGAAGAAGCCAGATTCACTTCACCACCGTGTTACTAACTGAACAACCGCAGCGGGAACCGTTGTAAAAACGGGGCAAACTCACTTACAAACTATCTTCCTTAGCAGCTGTTGTGGTTAGCCGGCAGTAGGTGCAGATGGCTGAGGAGAGCGAGGGCTCTGATGAGGGGCCAGGACCATCAGGGAGTGGACTGTTGCCTTCAGAGATTGTGGGGGCTGGCAGCAGCGATGAGGAGGTTCCCGAGGAGCCTGTGCCAAGTGCACGTGCGCGCAGGATTACTCAGAGGAAAGAACAATTACAGCAGCACAGGTGACTCGGGAGTAAGGCTGCAAGGTAATGGCCCCTCCCTCAAGAGGATAAAAGCCAGGTTTGAAAAAGCGTTCTTTGCAGAAGGCAAAGAAGCTCTGAAGCTCAACTGGTGGACATCTTAGTTCGTGTTTGGAGAATCTTGTAAATTAGTTCTTATCTCTGGGTTTTTGGCAACATTAATGAACAATTTGGCAAGGCTCTTTCTTGCCGGAGCTAATTAGTGGAAAGCAGCCTTTTATCTGTAAAGGAACAGAATTCGTGATTAAACTTTAAAAGGTGGGGGCTGCTGCCTTTGTGTTTGCTCTCTTGGAACCCGGTTGGGTCAGAACAGCAGCGGAAATTTTCGGCTCAATTGTGGTCATAAGTCAAGGACTACCTGTAGCTCTCCATAAACACACACAAGTCATGGCTGGAAAAGTTTAATTGATTGGGGGTGGGGGGGAAACCCTCCATAATATCTGTTTGATTGCAGGAAAAAACTTGTGATGAGTAAAGTGTTTGTATGTCAATGCTCAAAAGAAAAATCACTTTTACCCAATTTACCCTGGTTGGGGAAGCACTGCATTAAGGATCTTGTGAGAGCCATTTGATCCCTTCTATGCAACTGGTAGTATTTTTTTTTAACAGATTAACAGAGTTGAAAGGGATCCCATAGGTCATCTAGTCCAAGCCCACCTTAAGCAGGAGATCCGGCCTACACCATTTCTGACAAAGGGCAGAAAGGTTCCAGGGATGAAGCTCCCACAACTTCTGAAGGCAAGCTACATACATTTTCTACAGAGCCCTCAATAATCATAAGGACTAGAACCCCACTCTTTTTTTAAAAAAAAACAAAAACCACTGCTCCCTTGTCAGATTTGGCCCACCCGAAAAGAGAAACCCGCCTATCAGCCTGGTACGAGAAGAAGGAGACCCAGAAAATCTGAGCAAAAGAGAGAAGAAGACGCAGGATCAGGAACCGAATCCCCGAGACTCCGGCCTTCCACTCACCAATCTGGCAATATCGTCCGCCCCAGCCGGGCGGACACTGGCACTTATTTGGTTGAATGCAGCTGCCTCCACTCTGGCATGGCTTGTGACAAACGGCTGGGGGGGAGAAAGGAGAGGGGAAGGCTCACACACGCAATGCACCAAGCCTGTTCATTAATCCCAAGAGAGCTTGCTTTATGTTCATTAATCCCAAGAGAGCTTGCTTTGTGTTCCTATCTCTGCGGGTACATACATACTTTTGTATTTGTTTGTTTGATTGTTTTGTCATAATTATGAATGTTATTAGAGGTGGAGATCCTTTGAGAGTTGTATGCAATGTCATTTCATTTTAATGTATGCCGATTCGGGTACGTTCAAAGCGACAACAAAGTTATTCTAAGTTCTATTTGGAGAATTGCACCCCCCACACACTATTTTTTTTAAAAAAGAAAAATTAGTTGCCCAGGCTGAAATACAGATAGCCCATGACTTAAGACCAAAATGGAGCCCGAAATTTCCGTTGCTGAGCCTAATCAAGGAACCAATCAGTGGTGAGATTCAATTTTTTTTTACTATCGGTTCTGTGGGCGTGGCTTGGTGGAGTGTGGCTTGGTGGATGTGGCCATGTGACTGGGTGGGCATGTTTTTTTTTTTTGCAGCCACCCCTCCCCCACCTGTTTTTGGGCCTTCTAGGCCTCAGAGGAGCCATTGGGGGGTGTTTTTGCTCCCAGAAGGCTCCTCTGGGGGCTCAGGAAGGCAAAAAATGGAGGGGGGGGACCTGAGCCATTTTTTGCCTTCCTGGGCCTCAGCAAGGGGAATCCCGGCACAGCTGATCGTATGAACAGCTAATTATCGGGAGGGGGAAAAAAAGAAAGAAATACTTTAAGGGGCGAGCGTCAGGTGGGCGGGGGTGAGCGAGCATCGGGAGGGCTGGGGAAGCAAGCCAGTGGCAACCAGGCGACCGGATCGGGGATGTAGCCAGCCAGAACTTACTACTGGTTCGGCGACCCATGCCAAATCCTTGCTTCCGGTTCGTCCGAACCGGTGCGAACCGGCTGAATACCACCGCCACTGGAACCAACCAGAAAATGCTCACACGCTCTCCTCTAGCACTGATAATGTTACCTAGTTGGGTAATGAAATGTCTGCAAGAAAAACCAAGCATGCTCAGAGAGCACCGAGGACCCCACTTGTTCAAGCCTGAGATACAAATATTCGGTAGGGACAAGATTTTCTACCCCAAAATAAAAACAGGTCCTGCAGAGCAACAACTGACATTGGCAAAGATTTCCTCTGACCCTGCATGGCCAGCTTCCATCGATGGGGTGGGAAGGGGACCACGGAGCCCCATTGAATCCATCAGCTGCTCTAAACGCAACCCAGGGGTGGGCTTCCAAAATTTGAGAGAAGGTTGCTGGGTGAGCATGGCCATGGTGGGAATGGAGGCCAATGCCAGGGGGGTGGCGTTTTTGTCCTCCCTGGGCTCCAGAGCAGGGTTGCCATCTGGCCGTTTTTCCGGCCAAATTCGTGAAATCTGGCCGTATTTCTATCTGCTTGGCTGTGAAAAAAATGATGTCAAATTTATTTGGCCGTACGAAAGTTGCTTGGCCGTGAAATCGGCCAAATATCTCCTTCCCTCGTGCATGTGCGTCACCATGAGCAAAAGGAGGACAAGCGCGTCCTCTGGCACTCTCCTTTCCTCGCGCATGCGCATCACCATGAGCAAAAGGAGGACAAGCGCGTCCTCTCAGTTCTCCGACACGCCTGCTTCCTCTCAACTCCCGTCACACACCCCTTCGGGACCTTGGCGCCCGGCCACGCCCCCTTCCCGCCTGTGACCCGAGCAGGGGCGGCTCCTCCTCAGTCAACACCACACCCATTCCTATTACGGCTCGTTCCAACGCCACGCCCCTCGGCTTCCCCACCCATCCCGAGCTCTCCTTCCCTCGCGCATGCGCAAAAAATAATTTGGCTGAATTTGGCTGTATTTTGACTTGAGTTTGGCCGCAGCGCCAAACTGAGATCTGGCAACCCTGCTCCAGAGGCTTTCCTCGAGCCTCCAGGAGGGCGAAAAAGGCCTCTCCGGGCTCTGGAGGCTTTCTGGAAGCCGGAAACGGGCTCATTTTTGGCCTTTCCAAACTTCCAGGAGGCCTGTTTTTCCACCCTCCCCGAGCCTCCATGCAGTACTTAGCTGGCATCCAAAATGGGCCACCTGGGGACTCGGGGTGGGGTGGGCAGGGCCAGCCAGGAGTAGGATTTTTTTTGGGGGGGAGGGGGGTTTCTCCGAACTGCACAGAATCTTAGCTAGGGGCTCTCCCGAACCCCTGCGAACCTCCAGCAGCCCACCCTTGATGCAACCAGAGGTTTCAAGGGCCCGTCCTCTCCCAAGGCCGCTGCTAAACTTCTCTGTAGCCACCAGGAAGTAAGGGATCCATAGGGATTAGTAGGGATTCCTAAACTGGCACGAGATTGCAAGTAGGATCGCAAACTCCTGACCCTCCCAGTCCTGCTTAAAGACATCTATTGAATGGGATGGCAACTGCAGGGGGTCCTCGACTTATAGTAGTTCACTCAGTGACCCGTTCAAACAACGGCCCTGGAAAAAAAGGGACTCATATAACCATTTTTTCACACAACGGTTGCATGCCATCCCTAGGGTCACGTGATTAAAATTCAGACGCTCGGCAAGTGACTCTTATTTATGACGGTTGCCATCTCCTGGGGTCACGTAATCCCCTTTTGAGACCTTCCTATGAGCAAAGTCAACGCGGGAACCAGGTTCACTTAACAACTGTGTTATTAATAGCAATAGCACCAGTCTTCGGATTTTTCACCATTGCAGTGGCTCCTTGATGAAAATTAGGTCACTTGGCAAACAACATGTATTGATAGCAGTAGCCATAGCACTTAGACACACACACACACACATATATACATACACAACAGTGGACAATATAAGTTTTAGTTCCAGAGATCGGGGTATATATCGGGGTATATATACACACACACACACACACACACACACACACACACATATATATATATATATATATATATATATATA